AAAAGGCAGGGAGGGCTGGCCAAATAGCTCAGCGGATTAAAGCACCTGCAAGCAGGTACAGGGCCAGGCGTTCGATTTCAGGGCCTGCCATGCTGGCCCACGTACTGAAACAGAAATTGAGGGGGAAAAAAAGGGCAGGGAATCTCTGAAACCAAGTTTTTTGAGAGTAACTCCACCATCACTTACCACTGTCACTGAAATGTGTTACTCTTCCCTCTTAACTCCTACTCTTGCTTCAGACCTCTTAGTTTAAGTGCCCCCTTCCTCAGGAAAGCTCTGACCTCTGAGGTCACATATTACATGATCTTACACTATAATTATGGGACCCCTCTCTCCACTGTACTACTTACCATAGCAACAACTTAACATCCTACGTGTTATTACTCTTCCTCATCACTATACTCCCAGAGTTCAGAAAACCTTCAAGAAAGCGCTGAATAAATGAATAAACTGCTCATGGAAAGCTAACAGACCTTCAGAAATAGTTATTGTATGGGGCAACATGATACTTCAGTGTCAAAAGTACACTATAATAGTGTACGGTCAGGGGCCGGGGAGATGGCTCAGTGGCTTAAGTGTTTGCCTGGCAAGTGCAAGGTCCAGAGTTCAATTCCTAGTGCAATAAATAAATAAATAAAGAACGAACGAACGAACGAACGAACGAACGAACGAACGAACGGTAGCCAGCCTCTAGGACAGCCCCAGAGATCCTCATGTCTGGCTTCATACACATTTATAAGGCCTCCACCCACAATACCACAGGAACAGCTTAGAATATGGTGGAAGAATACCATATCCAAAGTCAGGGCCTCTGACTTTCTTTTGGATAATGTGCTTTCAGAGATGCTAGCCCCTGTGTGCTAACACTCACATCATCCCATAGAGAGGCTTCTGAGCAAGAACACATCCTATCAACATCCTACACCAACCTGCCTGCCAGCCAGGGACAGAACCACTCTGGAAGCAAGTCCTCTAGTCCTAGTCACACTTTTAGATGACTACAACACCAGCCAACACCTAGAATGCAACCTCATAACAGACCCTAACCAACACCATTCAGCTTAGCTGTTCTGAATCCCTGACTTAGAGAAACTGGACTACGTAAGAAATGTTTATTGTTGTTTTAATTTGCTAAATTGAGTATAATGTTACACAGCATTAAATACAGTTGTACCTTGGTTCATTAGCTTAATTCTTTCCATGATTCTGGCTACAGAGACACAAGCTAAATGAAATTCCATGATTAGGTTCAATGTTCAAGCTATAAGGAAATCCCATTCTTACCCAATATGGTTTGCTATCAGTTGTAGAAAGAATTAAATTGATGAACTGAGGCCCCAATATAAGAGAGAGGATCAGGGAGATAGCTCAGTGACATAAGCACCTGCCTACCAATATGAGAGAGAAAGAGAGAGAGAGAGAGAGAGAGAGAGAGAGAGAGAGAGAGAGAGAGAGAGAGAGAGAGATCTAGTGTTGAATATCTGGACCTTCTCCCCAACTCCTTCCCCCCACCCCCCGGTCTGAAGTATAGCTTCTATATGAATAAATACATATACCAAATCATACCTTTTGGTCCATTCTCCAGGGCTTCTTCTGCAGCTTCTGGCTCAAGTTCTTTTTCAGAGTGGTCACTGTGGGTTTTGGCCTGTCCATTAACTGACATCTTGTCACTCAGGACAGTTGCATTCACTTTTGATGAAGTAGGCATACAAGCCCCAGCCATTGCTACATCCTGTTGTTTCTGTAATGCTGCCTACAAATCAAAAAAAGTAGATGCACTAACCAGGAAGGGTAACAAATGGGACATGCCCTGGAGTGCATTCTGACCTCATGCTTTTGTCCTACCAAAGTTTTCTGCTCCAAGAATTACTAATAGACATTTATCAGTATTTATTCTATTTGTTTTTGCAGTATCAGGGATTGAACTCAGGATCCTGTGCTTGCCAGGCAAGCACTTATTCTACTGAGTTATCTCCCTAGCCCTATTCTATCTATAGTGAATACTAGTATTAGTTAAAACAATGAAAGTTAATATAAACAAAAAAATGAAGTTGGAGATGGTGATGCATGCCAGTAAACCAGCTCTCTGGGACACCGAGACAAGAGAAAAACAAGTTTAAGCCCAGCTAGGGCAACTTGGTAAGGTTCTATTTAATCATCATCACTACCACCACCACCACCACCACCACCACCACCATACGGAAATGTAAAGCAGTGTGAAAGCACTAGGCTCAATCCAATAACAACAACAAAATTGAGGATTCCATTTCCATAATCTGAGAATCACTAGAAAAACTAACTAGGAAAAATTATAGTAGACAGAAATAACCCAAAATTTAAAAAAAACCTATTAAATATATGACAAAATAAGTGCCTTCCTGGCAAGCGCAGGGTCCTGAGTTCAATCCTCAGGACCACAAATACATATATAAATAAATAAATTTATGGCAAAAAGTTAATGGAAGAAAATTTTCTTGATAAAATTCAATTATGTTAAAAAATTCAATTATATAAAACTTAAATTAGGAAAGTTATAGAAACTTTGCATAAACAAATGGACAGAGAAAAACATTCACAAAAACAAAAGCTGTAACTAGTAAAATCTGACACAGACTCTACAAGTAGTCAACAAATCACAGATAAAGAGCCAGGGACATACTTCAGTGGTAGAGTACCTGTCTAGTGTATATGACGCCCTGGGTTCAATCCTCAGCACTGGAAAAAACCAAAACAAACAAAAACTATTCTTACATGGACAAAAATATAACTGCAACTACATTTATTTAATTTATTTTGTGGTGCCAAGATAGAACCTAGGAGTTCATATTAGCCTAAGTGGATGCTCTACCACAGTATACAACTAAATTTAAAACTATCAATCACATTGTTTAAAAAATTGATCTATGCCAGGTGAGAAGGCACATGCCTTTAATTCTACCACTGAGGAGGCTGAAGCAGAAGGATCACTGCAAGTTCGAGCCCAGCCCAGGCTATATAGTAATTTCAAAGTTAGTCTCAACTAAATCAAGAGACATGGTCTCAAAAAAGAAAAAAACAAAGAACTAAATAGGTTCATAAAATGTAGTTGACACCACAAAACCATGATTAAAATGTGTGTTATGTAAGCAAGGTGTAGCATCCATTTGGGCTAGACATGGTGGTATACACCTGCAGTCCTAGCGCATAGGCTAAAGCAAAAGGATCACAGATTTGAGTCTTGCCTGGGCAACTTAGTGACCTAAGAATGCTCTGTCTCAACATAATTTTTTTAGAAAACAGCTGGGGGGGGGGTTGCTGGGGAGATGGCTCAGAAGAATATGCGCTTCCCTGCCAAGCGCAAGGGCATGAGTTTAATCCCTGGTTCTGCAAAAAAAAAAAAAAAAAAGTTTGGGGCTGGGGAGATGGCTCAGTAGAATAAGCACCAGTGCAAGGGCCTGGTTCAATCCCCAGTTCCGCAAAAACAAACAAACAAAAACAATTGGGGGTGTAGCCAGTGGTATAACACCCCTGGGTTCAATTTCTGCTAGTGCCACCAAAAAAAAAAAAAAAAAATGTATTCAAAAATATTAAATTAAAATATTCTCTCAATGAAATGGAGTAAAACTATTTGTAATCCAAGGGATAGCTATTTAGGACATTCCTCTAACTCAAGATGAAAACATTAATACTACTTTAAAAAATATATATAAATATATATATAATATATATATAAATGTTACCTACTAAGTAACATTTCAGGGAACTCTTGATTTATAACATGCATATATAAAAGTACACAAATACAGGCTGATCAATTTTTATAAATCTAACACATATCCATGTAATCAACACACAGATCACGGGCCGGCCAGATAGCTCAGTGGATTAAAGCACTTGCTTAGGCAGGTGCAGGGACTGGGGTTTGATCCCCTGTGTGCTGTGCTGTGCTATGCCAGCCCTGCCCCCAGGGCTCACAGAGTTAGTGACTGAGACTGGTCATGGTGGCACACACCTGTAATCCCAGCACTTGAGAAACTGAAAACAGGAGGATCACTACAAGTCCAATCTATACAGTGAGACCCTGTACTAAACACATATTAAAAACAACAATGACAAAAAACCCCAGATCAACACATTACATACTTTCAAGAATCCCATCAGGTACCCCTTTCTAGATACCTCTTCCCACCCAACTTTCTGACATATTATAGACATGTCTTACTGTTTTTAAACTTTATATAAATTGATGTAAGGTTCATTCACAGAGGGCCATGGAGATAGCTCAGTAAAATAAGTGCTTGGCCTGGCAAGTGCAAGGGCCTGAGTTCAATCCCCGGTTCCACAAAAAAAAAAA